TTATATTAACCACCGGTAAGAAGAAAACATTTAAAACATAAGTTGACCTAATGCTTTGAAATAAAGAACAACTGGATACAATTAAGACAAAAACAAATCACTGAACAATTCATGTATGTTGGAAAACGTAGAATTCAAAGGTCGCAGTCAAATTCCTTGGTAAACGATAATATTTATTATTTATGAACTTATTTCTGAATATGTGCTACTAGGTTAGGAATAAATTTTACGATATCAGGTCATCGCATTTTTAGTATTCTGTTTTAGCTTAAAATCTGCATAAACTCAGTGAAGAGAATAGAAACAGGCGTAATTAGTGTGCAATATACAAATAATCCATAAATACTTTAGCATAGTGTGTATGCATTAGGTGGTAATAGTAAATGTCTTTCATAAATAAATATTAGTCCAGTTTTAAGGTCGAGTTGTTTTGGAAATAACTGTAATTGGTCACTGTATATATATATATAAGGCTTATTCTCATCTATTCCTCGTAGTTCCTAAAATCCTGTATTAGTTCAAATTTTCTATTGCATATTTGTTTATTTGTTTTAGGGCTAAGCCACATTGAGCTCTCTGCTGTGCCCACCAAAGGGAGTTGAACCCCGGATTTTAGCCTTGTACGTCCATAGATTTACTGTTATCCCACCGGGAGATTTCTACTTGCAAGACAAATTTTAAATTTATTCACTACAGTAGATGTGCAGAGGGCATTAAAAGCTCATTGACAAAAAGGGGAACTTTTCAAACATCATGAGGCAAGACGTATTAAGAGGAAGAGGTGTTAAGAGAGACAATGGGAACTGTGGGTTTGCTCTAATTCACATAGAGTAATTAGGCGTGTCTTATAGTAATGTGGACGTTTGGTATGACTGAAAGAAAAGTCAATCGGTTCAAAGTTAGGATAATATTCATGCTAAATATCTCCTACATCTTGGTCGTTCATAAAACTTTGAGTGAGTTTATTCCACACTTGTGTTGTTCTCCAACTTTCAAGTTAGTCCATCGTTACGCCAACGTCGTTGATACTGTTTTAAAATATTTTATGAACCATTGCTTGATTTGTTCGAAGAATGCAAAATAGTTTAGGACTTCACAGTTGTAATTTCAATTATTAGGGTTATTTTCTTAACACGTATAGTAGAACAGGAGCAATGATTTATTTATAGATGAAAATTGTATAGTTTTCTGTAGAAACGGTTATTTGTGTGATAACACTAACAGTTTCACCGTGCGAAATACGTAATTCGCGTTAAATAGCTGTTGCATTGTACATGAACACGCAATGTCATCGTTCCATTTGAAAACAGACCATAAACGTTACAATTATGGAATATGTTAAGGTCAAAACATGTTACAATATGTAGGACGTGCATATAATAATTTGTCCAGAAACCATGTACATTTCTATAGGGAAATAACCATTATAAAAACGATAATTACATAAAATCATCCTGAAGTTTGAGATATACTGTTATTTGGAAATGATAAATTGGAAAGTTTTTGTTTTTTTTTTACAAAATAAACACTAGCTACAAATTGATTGAGGAAAGATCGTTGGTGAGAAAATGGTCATCTGTAATCTTAACAAGATTCTTTTTTCTTTAAAACTGAGATATTCCAGAAGCGCGCGCGTGTGTGTGGACGTTATGCAATATTTTCAGTTGAAAGTACGATACTTGAGATATACCCATGTGGTGTTCTCAAAAAAGATTAGAGTAGAAAATTGTAATAACTAGAGGAACGGCAGAAAATGTTTGTTTGAAGTTATGCACAAGGCTACACAATAGGCTGTCTGAGCTCTGCCCACCACGGGTATCGAAACCCGGTTTCTAGCGTTGTAACTCCGCAGACATACCCCCGTGCCACTGGGGGGCTCAGAAAATGTTATACATGGTTAAAATTAATTTCCTGCATGAAATGATTGAAGAAAGTTTGTTTGTAATTAAGCACAAAGCTACACAATGGGCTATCTGTGCTCCGCCCACCACGGGTATTGGAACCGGGTTTCTAGCATTGTAAGTCCGCAGATATACCGCTATGCCACTGGGGGGCATTGAAGAAAGAGACTAGACACAAAACTGGAAGTGCAATAAAATATCACTTTATTTATTGAACAAAAACAGTTAAAATAGAGGAGGCACAAGTACACGAAGCGAAAGACAGTGCCTCCACCTAGAGCAGGGGTTCCCAACCAGTAGTGTTGGTACCCCATGGGGGTGCAAAATGAGGGTCCAGGGGGTACGCGAAAGAGGCTTATACAAGGTTCGTTTCCCTCAGATGTCGCCAAGAGGAAATGTTTAATGCACACTTTTTGGTGGAGGGGGTGCGAGGGCCACAAATGATTGGAATTAGATAAAGATCTGTGTCACTGTTAAAGATAATCATTGATTAGAAAAAGCAATAGGGTTAACTTTCGCATGCATTACCTACGTCACTCGTGGTGATCCCATAAAAAAATATGGAGGATGTATCCTCCAGGATCTGCTAAACCTCCACATCAGTGATCTTGATATAGAGACTACATAGTATACAAAACTAACCTACTTCTACATTGACATCTTTAGTGGTCGAATTTGTTGATACCAAAGGCGAATGACCCATGACTGGGACCACACGTGAATGACGGAAAATTAGGGGGCTACAGTAAATTCTGAGTGGGCCACCGAAACTTCATTGCTCGAATAAAACATTTCAACAGCCCAAGCTAGATTCAAACGTGACAAATATTATTTCTGGATAAATAGTGAAATAACTAATAAATGTCCACAGCTCTGGGAAAAGGCAAAGCTGTATTTTATCGCTTTTCCCACATCTTATCTGGTTGAATCTGGTTTTAGTCGGGTAACTTATTTGCTATCAAAAATACTTAACCGCCTTGATGTTGTGAAGAGAGGTGATCTTCGCTTATCGCTGACCACACTGCAACCGGACATTCAAAACTTTCAAGTGTTCATCAGGCCCAAGGATCACACTGAATAAAATGTCTATGATTAACAGAATATTTTTACTTGTACAAGTAAATAGTATGTTATAAACAAAATATTTAAAAACAATACATTATTGTGATACAATATTATAAATATATTATAAATCAACGGTGTGGAAATAAATGAACTTTTTTTCCTAAGTAAGAGCGTCTACGAAGGGTGGGGCCAAAGAGATAAATCAAACTCAAAAGGGAGCCACGAGCGAAAAAAGGCTGACAAACACTGCCATAGTAGACCGGTAGCAGAGACCTGATTATTGCATGACATATTTATCTATGTTATAACAAAATGAAATGAAATTAGTATGATATTATAGCCTGATGTAGCGCCACCCACCTGGACAAGGTTTTGTTTGCCCACTCCTCCCACAGATATTTCAGTTCAAGTTGTATATCGGGTCCTCTTCTACTTTGAAGGTACCTTCTTTTTATATAAAGTAATGAGCCCATATTTTTGTACTGATGATATGTAATATTCCTAGGAATATATTATGTTCTCTTTAAATTGGAATTATACATGCCCAATATAATTCCTTCATATATATCAACATGATTCAGATGTGTAGGAGGCAAATTAAAAGTTGAGAACAAAGTTTATTTGATCTATCAAAGCGAAAGAATGTATGAAACATTTTGATTGACATGAAATGTCCAATTGTAAAAATAACCTAAAAGAAACACCTAATACGTTTCAAATAATTCACCGACTTGATGTTTACAAAACCCAATATTTATTTCATGTGAAGACTCGTTGACAAACGAATTTAGATCACTCTGTATCTTAAAGTGATTTCATACTTCTTTCTACCTAACTCAGTATTTAATTTTCCATATACTATTTAATGATCAGCAAAATTCCAGGCAACACAGTGTAGCTTTCTTAGAAGACAGTTTGGCATAGCCTGGGTGACATTACATTTTCATTTCGAGTTGATGAGAATTTATTCTATAATTTGGTTTATTAAACGACCTATAAATAACTGTGATAAACATCCTACAGACTAAAGTACAAAGTGTAGTAATTAGTGTGTAGCAAATTGAAAACTTTCATTGTTGTCTTGTTTAGTAGTCTGTACAATCATTAAGTCTAATTAGCTACTAATTATTTTATATTAGTACATATTGATTATTGTAATTACTAACTAGGTTATATCCTATGTTTCGGCTGCTAATCCACTGTTGATTCAGTGAAGTCCTAAGAAGGGATGTAATTATGTGTTATGCAAGGCACATTTATTGTTTGTTTTGTCTTCTCTAGTTTAGTAAGGTGAATTTTTCATACTGAACCAGAAAATTCAAAAAGTTTCGCGCATACACGTTTCTAGCTACGTGTGTAGTTTCAAAAGTAGAACATTGGTGATGAAATAAGGCTATATTGCATTTTAACTAGTTATTTTTAAATTTAAGTCATTCCATTTTCGTGTCAGATACGCTATCTCGTGGGAGATATTGCTGTATAGGAAGCTAGTGGTCTTTTCAACTAGTAGGTCAGGTGATACCTTGAGGTGTATCTTACTGATCTTGTTATTATAATAACCAACAGTGATAAAAGAAGCGTTTGTGCTCTGAGAGTATATACTTTTGTTCTCTTTTAGTCTATAATAGAATGCCTGGAGAATAAGATAAATGATTTAGTCCTCTCTAACTGTTATCTATAAGCAAAATCCATCGCTCAGTGTATTTGTTCGCTTTTAATTAGTTTTTGTTGAGAATATAGCTTGTTCACATTATGTCCATCTCTTTTCTGTTTCAAACTCATTCAGGGTTAAAGAATTCAGTTTAACTCCTTAGAACATTTCCTGATTTCCCTAAAGTTATGATTCTTATCTTTGAGGTTACCAATTCACAGACCAGGTCATCGTATTACATTTATCAGTTAATGATTTATTTTTTACTCCAGTTCAATAATTTCTTAATTTTACATTTATTTCATTCTTCCTATTTATTTCTTCTACTCAATAACATTTATTTTCTTTTGAATATTAATTAAATATTATTTTCTTTATTCCAGAGTCCGGGAAATGTCAAAGAAGCAATAGTTAAATTAGGTGGCGCTCTTGGTTCTCATCTCCAAGTCAAATCGTCCTGCTCATCTGTTGCCTTGGCAAACCTATCACAGAAGCTAGGAAGAATAAACGGCTTAAACCAACTGGATAAATCCACCAGTTTACCAAGTATAGGATTGCAAAAAGCTTTTAACAACAGACATAATTTATCCCATAAAGAAGACAACATTATCAATCAAATTACAGGAAATAATTGCGTCATTTCTGGGTTAGATGCTGAATCTTCTCTACCATTACTTTCCACAAATAACGCTAGGCATGGGCCCCTTAACAACAGCCTCAATATAAATCCAGGATGGAACAGCAACAGAATAGAAAACGCTAGTCACGTACAAAACAACAACAATGAAGGAAACAGTGCCAAAAACATGTCCTCTTCCAATAGTAACGAAAGTTTAGCAACTCCGAAACGACACATTTCTCAAACAGAGCATAATAATGAATACAATCAAAAGTTCTTACGAGTTGATCCTTACGGCAGAAGATTGCCTTTAACCTCACAAGGTAATACTTCTTTATATATATATATATATATATATTATTATTATTATTTCCTTAAAATGACGCTGTTAGCGAGAAAATGTGCTTAAATCACGTAACGTAATTTTTAGTAAAAGCGAAACCTTTTATTGTATTACAAAGATTCCTAGTTACTACTGCACTGTATATAGGTCAATTGTTTGGAAAATTAGCTATAAACATCAGTCATTACTGCATTCTTTGACTGATTATTCACTAAGTTAGACTTACAGAAACTTTAGTTATAAACAAAGATGAGGATATATGTATAATAAAAAGATAATGAATTTTGCATGTTTTTAACGAAAGTTTGAAAAACTTGCGTTACTTCTTGTGATTTTTTATCATAAAAAAAGCGAAAATAAGAGTGAGTACAAAGTATTACGTGTTTCAAAAGGGTATAATTTTGTTTTCGGTGACTACATGAGGATGTTTATCATCACTTTTAAGTAGCCATCTTATTCTATTCACTATGTCACATTGATTTTCCTCTCCATTAGTTTCTAGATATCAACATGGTACTGATTGGTAATCAGTATTGTCAATAAAAAATGGTAAACAAATAGTACAATACACTTTGTTGTTGACATAAGAGGTGGACGTGGCCTCTTGTTTACCATGTCCGTTTGTGTATTGAAGAGTCTTGGATTCGAAATGTAACGCCACTGAGCGTGCCCACGCTTTCAATTGCAGACGAATTATAAAACCGAAATTCAATCCTGTTATTCGATTGAAATAATCAAAGTTCATACTTTTAACAATTGGTGCCGTTGACTGGCTACCTACCGTCCGGTCAGTAGTTCAAAATTAAGAACAGTTCTCCTTGAATCCTAGGGGATTCTGACTTGACCGTCTAGTCCTCGTGAGTTTGAGTTAAAACCTACAATTTCCTGATGGCCTCAAGCTGTTTTCATCAGGAGCCAGTATCTTATTCTTTGTTGGTTTCAAGTTGTTTTGAAAAAACAGTAAGGTATTCCTCCTTGTTGGCTTCAAGCTGTTTTGAACAAACAGTAAGGTATTATTTCTTGGTGGTTTCAAGTTGTTTTGAACAAACAGTAAGGTATTATTTCTTGTTGGCTTCAAGCTGTTTTGAACAAACAGTAAGGTATTATTTCTTGTTGGTTTCAAGCTGTTTTGAACAAACAGTAAGGTATTATTTCTTGTTGGCTTCAAGCTGTTTTGAACAAACAGTAAGGTATTATTTCTTGTTGGTTTCAAGCTGTTTCTAACGAATGGTAATGTATTATTTCTTGTTGACTTCAAGCTGTTTTGAACAAACAGTAATGTATTATTTCTTGTTGGTTTCAAGCTGTTTTGAACAAACAGTAAGGTATTATTTCTTGTTGGTTTCAAGCTGTTTTGAACAAACAGTAAGGTATTATTTCTTGTTGGCTTCAAGCTGTTTCTAACGAATGGTAATGTATTATTTCTTGTTGACTTCAAGCTGTTTCGAAGAAATAATAAACTATTCTGTGTGTTTGTGTGCATATGCGCGTGCGCATATATGTCTTTGTGTGCGTATGCGCGTGCGCATATATGTGTTTGTGTGTATGCATTTTAATTGGTAACAGTATTTTCCGAGCTTCCAAAAATTAACGTTAGAGTGCAAAGGAGGGATAAGAAAGTAATGAAAATGACTGAGGGATAGGTAAATTGTGTTAGTTCTTCTAAAATACAGCTTTCAAAATGGGTAAAGTAAAGCAAAGAATATTTTATTAAGATGACATTTCACCTGCACCCCCATCCCTCCATCCCCAAGTGGCTCAGCGGTAGGTTTGCGGACTTGTAACGCTAAAATTCTGGTTTCACTACTCGTGGTCGGCACATCACAGATAACCCATTGTGTAGCTTTGTGCTTAACAAGAAACAAACGTTTCGCCTCTACAACGGGAGACATGATCACATAAAAAAGTTACTGTTATCGTACTATACGCTATAAAATCTTTATTAATGGATACATCTTCATTGTATCCTCCAGAAAATATTAAAATACCGGGGGAATGTGAATTAAGTAATACCCCAGAAAAACCTCAGAAAACGCTTGAGTACCGGCATGTTTTTGTTTTTCGTTTGAAGCATTGATTGTAGTGAGTTGTTGCAAGTGGTGTGTGTTTTCTTATAGCAAAGCCACATCGGGCTATCTGCTGTGTCCACCGAGGGGGAATCGAACCCCCTGATTCCAGTGTTTTAAATCCGAAGACTTACCGCTGTCCTACCGGTGGACTGTTGCAAGTGGAATGAAAGAGTTAAGACAAAATGTGAAGTTGAAACAAAAATAAACGCTTTATTTATCTGAAAAAACGATGGAACGTACAGGTGGAGAGCTATTGTGTTGAACAGAAGAAAAACATGTTTATATTAAACGATAGGCAAATGAAACTTTATTCAATTAAAGGAAAACGAAAATGCAATCTACTTGCAAATAAACTTGAGACTGTTGGGATGAAATTACTAGAAAAATAATGTATATCGATCAGCAAACCGAAAGATACACGAAACAACAAAAACTAGATTTCTACACCGAGTCTTAACTCTCTCAGAAGAAAAATGAATCTAATTAAAAAAAACAAAACTGCCCCCCCCCACACACACACATTATTTTTGTTGCTGAGCAATCAGAAGACTGTATCACAATCATCCGGAAATATCTTTGCTCCATGTGGCACTCGCAAATAAAGTAGAACCCAAAACAACCATCTTAGGAAACAGTACATAGTGTCCGTGATTGGGTCCTGCTACAGCGAGTAGCACTTATGGTTGAATTAGCACATGATGTCTACTAGCACTTAGGGTTGAATTAGCACATGGTATCTACTAGCACTTAAGGTTGAATTAGCACATGATAAGTATTTCTTCCAGGATGTATCTCACTCTCCTAAATCCGGTAGAGATCGTGTACTAATTCAACCCTAAGTGCTAGTAGACATCATGTGATAATTCAACCCTAAGTGCTAGTAGACATCGTGTACTAATTCAACCCTAAGTGCTAGTAAATATCATGTGCTAATTCAACCTTAAGTGCTAGTAGATATCATGTGCTAATTCAACCTTAAGTGCTAGTAGACATCGTGTACTGATTCAACCCTAAGTGCTAGTAGATATCGTGTACTAATTCAACCCTAAGTGCTAGTAGAGGGGCCCCGGGCATCCATATCTGGAGAGCATCCAACGCAAATAGTCGAATCGAATAGTAGAACCCTTTCCGCCCTTCCCCAAGGTCTAAGGTACAAGGCCCCGGGTGTCATAGAACCTTTGCAAGCCACTGGTTGGAATATAATAATAAATTACATAAGCATGCTTGCTAAAATTGTAACATAAAATTACAATAATTCTCAGCTTTTCTAAAGAAATGTGAAATTTAACGGCATAACAATCGTCATGAATTGTGAATAGTGTGGCACTTCCCCCCCCCTCTGCACGCTACTGATTCCAACAGAGTTAGAGAAGTGATTAGACCTAAGAAAGATGTTTAAGGTCCCGTGCTAACCTTGGAACATTTTTTTCTATTATCGATCGTGCTCTGTCTGATAGCAGTGATTACGCACTATTGTCCGAGATTGTAAATTGTACAAACTTCTGCGAAAGATGGCGAAACCAATTTTAGGCCACACATCTTAACAGACTTTGCACAGACCTTTTAATATTCATGGACGTCAGCTTTCAAAGCCAATGAAATCAGTAACACAAGAATCCATTGGAGCTGTATCAAGAGGCTTTATAGTTGTATGTGAAATAAGATTGCTGTGATTGAGCTTTATCTAGTTTGTTTTTGTTTAAGAGCGAAGCCACACTGAACTAACTGCCGTGTCCACCGCGGGAAATCGAACCCCCCCCCCCCAGTGGCACAGCGGTATGTCTGCGGACTTACAACTGTAGAATCCGGGTTTCGATACCCTTGATGGGCAGAGCACAGATAGCCCATTGTGTAGCTCTGTGCTTAATTACAAACAAAACAATACTGCTGATTCGTTGAGGGACGTGTTTATCCAGACGTATTTTTCATGAAAACAACGGTTGATTTCTAGATGGCGCTGTAAGCTTGTGAATCTTCATCAAATATGAATTCTTTGTTATTATCTTATTAACAGTATTAAATGATATATCCAGCTTCATTGCAATGGCTTTTTGAGTCGGAGGTTTCTCTTTTGTAATCATAATATTAACTTTGCAGGTAAAACCGTTACTCCCGATTGGCTTGGGGTGTAGTTGGAGTATTTATTAAACGCTCTCCTGCGCGAGCATTTCTGCTTCCAGGGAAAATATTGAAGACTATTTCAAAAGTTATGTCCTTGGGCTTTATATCTTTTATCGATCTCACTGTATACAAATTTTATACATATTTCATTTTGGAAGAGTTTTTCATGTCTTTTTCAGCCATAAGACAGCCTTTTAGTATCGAATGATCAGGAATTACGTATGAGCCAAATACGTAGGCGTTAAACTTGTGACCCAAGGGGCCACGACTCGCGTCTGAGGCGATACACTACTATATTAGCATGCCCATATTGTTTTAATAAAGCGCAATTGAGACTATCACGTATAAGTTAGTCGTAGTTTTAAAACTAGCATGAGATCGTTTCAGCTTAAATGGGCCTATAATAGCAGGATAACATCGTGATCGTGTTACCAGTTTTTTGATGCTGCATGGTGATGAAATGGAACTTTAACAGAAAGATGTGTACAACAAAAGATGGAATAAATTATCAATATTTATTCTTTCAACCATTTTGTGAGAGACTTTTCAATCCCAAAAAGAATCCAAACGAGAGCCCTCTACACAATGAATTGGTGCTTCTTATTCCTCTCCCTAATCCTTTACTTTATTCATAATACAGTAACTGTACTCCTGTAAGTAAATGTTTCAGTCGAACTAACTAACAGTGATAATTCTTGTTTCTCTTTTTTTTTAAGTGCAGCTCAGTTGAAATTACGCTTCTTTTGTATCGAATTATCTATTTTGTTACTCTTAGGATGCGAAAGTTGCTCATATTGTTCCATTGCATTACAGTTAAAGTTGGTGCTATATAATTTCATCTATATAAATAAACGTCAATATGTGTGTGTCTGTCTGTCTGTCTGTTCCTTATACGTTTCCATATTTCTTGATCAGTCAGCACCGAACTTGGCACAGTGATGCAGGATGATATGAGAAATGTCATAGGGGTTGGAACCCCCCTACCCTCCATTTAATTTCGGAAAAAGTGTCAATTTTGTATATCCCTCAGCATTAGAATGAACTATGTGACCACTGTTGCTAGAATTCTTGAAAACAGTATGTCTTTCTTTTCAGTACTGGTACCTCTATGTATTTTTATCTCACTTTTAATGCTTATTATGTTAATAAAAAAAATAGAAGCACAAACGAGTTTTTATTTCAGGTACTCCAGCTAGTTAATTATATTTTTCAGATAAATCATGATGTTTTATTTCTCAGTTTAGTTTGGGTGTAATCTGTCAAGCTTAACAAAAAACTGATTTAAAAGTTCGATACATTACAGTATACACATATATATATATATGTGTGTGTGTGTGTATACAAATAAGTAGAAAAATAATGATATATTATTAAATTCAATTTCTGTAATGACAGCCTCTCTCTGTCAATCTTCTTTTTTTATTATTACGTTAAACCATGCTGTTGCACGGTCCCCAGAAGACTTCGACTTAGTAATATTATATTAACTTTGCCCATAAGTGACATATATTTTCCCCATAGAACAGGTTTAGAAATGGAACATCATAAATATATTTCCACAATTTAGTATGTAAGTACGATGAATGCTGCCTGTGAATATTAGATACTGCCTACCATGCACCACTTCAGTTGATGAAACTGTCGGCAAGCGTATCAGCAAACAACTGAAGCTGGTATCACTTAATCTAATTGAATACGGCTCTGTGAAGAATGAATGTAATGTACAGGAAATACATCTACCATTACGTCAACACTCCACTGTCCTCAATGGAGTTAAAATTAATACGCCAACTCGCTTTGCAAAAGTGTATTAACCTTCAGCCAAGAGCATCAGATGCACAGGTCCATTCTAAGATAATATTAAATCAAACCATAGAAAGTAACAACTGAGTGTTGGTTATTCTGAGCTCAGATCTTTGACATTTCTCTTCATTTCTGATAGAAATTGAAATAAAATTTATAAAGTTAAAGCTCTGAGGTTCACACAGAAGGGTAGTTTTCAAATTAAGTAAATATTGTAAAAACTTTGTTAATTACATACTTTTATTAGTTCACTACTGTTGAACTCGGGGGCGTTTTTAGGTCTTTTAGAATCTGGGAGGGTCAGGTGTACTCTAGACCTATATATATTCATTTTGATCGGGAACTGGGAGGGTCACGTGCAATCTATACCTGTATATATTCATCTTGATCGGGATCTGAGAGGGTCAAGTATACTCTGGACCGATATATATATATATTCATCTTGATCGGGATCTGGGAGGGTCAAGTGTACTCTACACCTATATATATTCATCTTGATCGGGATCTGGGATGGTCAAGTAACGGATGGTCAAATTCAAAAACAAACAAACAATCAATGTGCAGATTTATGGTTGTTAAAATATTCAGGGACCAAATCTTTCGTATTTTCTTCTCTTCCATGAGATCAGTTAATACTTGTTTACTTTGTTTCATTTCTTCCTTATCTTGTTTTGGTCATGCCAGAAAAACAACAATAACAAACAATCAATGTGCAGATTTATGGTTGTTAAAATATTCAGTGACCAAATCTTTCGTATTTCCTTCTCTTCCATGAGATCAGTTAATACTTGTTTACTTTGTTTCATTTCTTCCTTATCTTGTTTTGGTCATGCCAGAAAAACAACAATAACAAACAAACAAAAAACCTACAAGAAACAAGCAGTGAGAACATAAACCCATCTTATTTTACATATGCTCTTCGGTGTTAGCTAGTTCTGCACTTTGGACGCTTCCGGTTTGTGGACACTGCTTTTTCGTTACTTGTATGTTTCAAGCAAGACCCTCGGGCGGAAGTTCACGTGCCTTTCAAGTTACATTCAAATTTTCATCTTGTAATCTACTAAAACACTCTGTAGCTCACCTATTCCCATATCATTCGTATAATATGTGGACCAATGACTTTCTCAAACGCCTTCACAACCCCTTCGAAAATACAGTGTCCTCCAATAAAATATGACACATCCAGTGATGACATTTTATTATATTTTCACACAAAAATACAATTCCTTAACTTAGAGTATGCTATGAGTACTACATCCCCTATAGGTACACAAAACATTTTAGACCTTAGAGTCTTAGAGCCCTTGCTTCTCTCTCTCTCTTCTCCGGATCGGGATTTAGGTCAACGACCTGGGAGGGTCAGGTTCAAGTAGACCTCTTCCTCCCTTCTGTACGGTTGTTGTTGATTTTTTTTCTGTGGTTCAGGTTTTTTCTGGTTGGCTGGTTTGATATGGGGTTAATGTATTTCTGTTAGTAC